CCCCAGTGAGGGGCTGGGGTGTGGCTCAGTGGTAAAGCTCTTGCCTAGCATACTCAAAATCCTGGGTTGACTGACTCTCTAATATCACCAAAATATAAATAAAACAAAGTCTTAAAAGTGAATAGTTTGCCAAGAGGGGAAAAAGCAGAGAAATGGATGAGGAAGGCAGTTGGAGGGCAGACAAGAAGCAACACCTTTCTTTTTTTATGTTTTAATTTATTATTTTTTCCTCCATGGCTCTGCAGTGCTTTATTAATTAAAAATATAAAACACGCATGTTCTTTTTATGATATTCATTAATTACATTAATTGTATTGATTTATTACATTCATGATATTATGTCCTGATACTACTGTTTGTGGGGCTTTTCCATCACACGAAACAGAAACTCTCTACTTAGGAAATCATGAAGCAACACCTTTCTCTGGGGTGATTCACTGACTTGAAAACAACAGACTGGAAGCAGGTGGTTGGTACAGGGATGCCTGTCACAAGGATCGGGTGTGTTTGGGACGTCATGCTGATGTGAGCCCCCTATTGGGTTCAAGGCATCACTCTGTAATCGGACACACGGGCAGTTTGGTAGCAGCAGGATTATCATGCCAGGAGGGATAAGGCTACCACCCCACAGCAGGCAGGACAGTGTTAGCGGCCAAGTGAGTTCTGACATGGTTGTTACGAGAACACTGAGCCTTTCAGGGCATTTGGAGTCTAGCAGCCAAGACCTGGGTTGGCCTGTGAACTTTTCAGTCTTTGACAGAGTTCACATACACGTGTGTGCACATGCATGTGCATGCACACATACGTATGAGTACCTGGAAGCATGTGTGCGTATGTGTGTGCACATATGTGCGTGTGTGTGTGCATGTGTATGTGTGTGTGTGTGTGTGTGTGTGTGTGTGTGTGTGTGTGTGTGTTTGTGTGTGTGTGGAGAGCTGAAGTCAACATCAGGCAGGTGTCTTTTCTCAATTGCTTGCTACGTTTTTCTTTCTTTTTCTTTCTCTTTGAGACAGGATCTCTATGAACCTGACGGTTATTGATTTGGCTAGGCTGGCTGGTCAACCTCATCAACCTCCATGCCCCCAAGGATAAAATTACTACCATGCTCTGCTTTTAGCCTGGGTTCTGAGGATTCTTCGAACTCGGGTCCTTGGACTCATGCAGTGGGCACTTTACCGGCTGAGCTACCTCCCCAGCCTCCGAGCTAAATATTTCATCAGATTTTCAAAGGTGTCCATGTTCAGAAAGGCTTTGGAACCACTAGTATGGTTTGATTCCCTTCAATGATGAAGGAAGGAGCCGACCCAGACATGGAGCCTGGCTTACCCGAGTTCCTATACAGCAAGTTGGTAGCAGGGTAAGGGCAGGGCCTCGGGTCCCTCAACCGCTCAAGGATGCGTGGTGGGCTCACGGAACAGAGACTTTCACAGCCTCTGCCACACCCCCACCCACTCAGACCCAGCTCACGCCGCTGCCAGAAGAGGCCTGACAAACTCAATGGACAGTCTCACCTGTGCAGGAAGCCCAGCCCGGGGCTGGGAGGTCAGGAGAGCTCCCTGGGTTTGCTGAGGTAGCTGGAATAGATTTGGCGTCGGTAGCAGGCCTGGGGAGACAAGAACATGGAAGGTGAGCGGGTGAGGGGCAGGGGACGGAATGCTGAAAGCAACAAAGGCCATCAACCGGGCTGAGATCTCACCTGGCTGACTCTGCTGGGCCTGTGGCAGCAGGAACTGAGCAGGTGGCTGGAGGTGGTGGCCAGGGACAAGCACCAGCTGTTGGAGCTGGAGGAGTTGCTGTATGTCCTGGCAGAGAGGGGATGGACAGAAACACAGACTGAATCCTGGCTTGATCTCCCCCTTCAGCAGCATGTGAGCCCCCAAGGAGCTGAAGCCAGGAGGCATGCAGCACGGCACAGCAAGCTATGGTCTCCCAGACCTGGAACGCCACACTGACCGCGGGACACCTGGAAGTCCCGTCCTCCAAGCTCCCCGGGAGGGCTTGCTCTTTGCCTCTCCCTTCCTGGTGAAATGTTTGCCTAGTCTTACATTCCCACAGAACAAATAGACTTGTTTAAAAATGTAAACCAGGCTAAGTCTTTCTTTCTCTTTTTAAAATGTTCCCAAGGCATGTGGTATGATGTCTGGAATTATCTCTAACGCACTCCAGCAAATAGCAGGTGTATGCATTGGTATAGACACTTGGAGAAAAGCTTCGGCACTAATTTAGGTTGAAAAAGAGAACTCAGAATGTGAATTTATTTGGAGATAGGATCTTTGCTTTGCAGATGAACAAGGCCATGAAAGTGGGTTCCAAAGCATTATGGTTGATGGTATCATTAAAAGGGGAAAATTCAGCCAGGCGGTCGTGGCGCACACCTTTAATCCCAACACTCGGGAGGCAAAGGCAGGCAGATCTCTGTGAGTTCGAGGCCAGCCTGGTCTACACAGTGAGTTCCAGGACAGCCAGGGCTACACATTGAGACCTTGTCTCGAAACCACCCTCCACCCCAAAAAGGAAAATTCAGGCCATGAGCCTGAGTTTAATTTAAAGGGGAGGGGTACCCTGGAGAGATGACTTAGGGGTTATGAGGACTTGCTGCTCTTCTAGAAGACCTGGGTTCGAATCCCAGCATTGACACCTGGCAGCTCACAGCCACCTGTAATTCCAGGTATGAAGAAGCCAACACCCTCTTCTGGCTTCCATGGGCAACCATACACATGTGACACACCCAGCCACACATGTACACATAAATAAAAATAACAAAAATTAAACCTTTGTTTGTTTTTGGAGACAGGGTTTCTCTGTGTAGTCCTAGCTGTCCTGGAACTCACTCTATAGACCAGGCTGGCCTCGAACTCACAGAGATCTGCCTGCTTCTCCCTCCTAAGTGCTGGGACTAAAGGGGTGTGCCACCACTGCCCAGGTCAAAAATAAAATCTTTTTTAAAAAATTTATTTATTTTATGTATTTGAGTGCTCTGTCTGCATGTACAACTTTATGCCAGAAGAGGGCATCAGATCCCACTTCAGATGGTTGTGAGCTACCCATGTGGTTGCTGGGAATTGAACTCAGGACCTCTGGAAGAACAGCAGGTGCTCTTAACTGCTGAGCCATCTCTCCAGCTCCCCCAAAATGAAATTGTATAAAAAGAAAAAGACCGAAAGTGTTAGCTCAGTGGTAGAGTCCCTGCCTAGAATCCCCCAGTGAGGGGCTGGGGGTGTGGCTCAGAGGTAGAGCCCCTGCCTAGAGTCCCCCAGTGAGGGGCTGGGGTGTGGCTCAGTGGTAGAGCTCCTGCCTAGAATCCCCCAGTGAGGGGCTGGGGTGTGGCTCAGTGGTAGAGTCCCTGCCTAGAGTCCCCCAGTGAGGGGCTGTGGTGCGGCATAGTAGAGAACTTACCTAATATATGTGAGACCAGTGTTTGTTGGGAACAAACAAAAAGGGTGTGCTGGCAAGATGGCTCAGTGGGTAAAAGTGTTCACTGCCTATCCTGACCATTGATCTCCAAAACCCACCCCTGACCTCCACATGTATGCCATGGCACGTTTGCAAACCCCACCCCCACATACACAAAATAAATGCATGTTTTAAAGGGGGGAATTTTGATACAGACACAAACAGAACAGAGATGATGTAAACAGACACAGGAAAGAAGACCAGCTGTAAGCCAAAGAGAGCAGACAGGAGCCCCAGCCCACACCTCCACATTACATTCCTGGCTTCCAGAGCTGTGAGCGAATGTATGTCTGCTGTTTGCGTCACCAGATCATGGCTCGTTGTTATAGCAGCAACGCTAGCAAACTAATACAAGTGAATATGCACCTGCCTTGGGACCCAACAACTCCATTCCTAGGTGTAAAGTCACCAGAAGTTCTTCCCATCAGCCCAAGGGCCACCAGCAGCGGAACAGATAAATGACCCGATTCCGTGGAATCAGCAACAACGCAAACTTCCACATACGGTCATGGCATCCTATATCCTGTTCATATGCCATCTGCATATCACAAACTCAAGAGGCTCCCGGCTGCCATCAACACAGGTGTGCTTGGTTAGTGGGGACCCACTGAGCTGCATGCTTGTGACCGGCGTACTTTTCTGCATTTGTTCTATGCTACGGCATAGAACAAATTACCTACGGCAAAGGATAATGCATCCTTCAGGACTGAATCTACTCTACCCGGCCCCCACCCCAATACCCTAGCCCTATTAAAAAAACCCCACGGCTGTCTCCCTCCAGCTGCAGATCAACCCAGAAGCAATGAGGCTGAAGTGTCCATTGATAGTGGAGCCGTCCAAGGCTCTGAGTCTAACTCTATAGTCTATGTTCACTGCTTCTCCTCCTCCCCGTCCCCCCACTCCCCTGTCCTCTCTCCCTCCGCTCACCATGTAGCTCTGCCCGGCCTGACCCTGCATAGGCTAGGGTAGCCTTGGAAGCCCAATGACCCTTTCTTGCCTCAGCCTGTCCAGTGCTGGGATCCCAGGTTCCTGCCACCACACCTGGCTGATGTTTGTTATTCTTTCAAAGGTTCTCCCTCCCGGGGGTACACCCTTCAGGGCCCACAAAGGGTACCCACCCTGCTCTCTATGGCCCTCTTAGAGAGTGGTGCATTTACTAATGTGTACTCTTCCTCTGCTAGGCTGAGCCTCTGGCAGGCAAAGGGGTGTCTTATAAAACAAACAAACCAACCCAACAATTTAAGCCCTCCGCCAGTCTGGCTGCTCAGGCTGAGACTGACTCAGGCTCAGCCTTGACCCCTGCCTTCCTTTCCTCACCTCCCATCTCTCCATCTCTCCCCTCCACTGTTGGGTTCCATCGGGGTTCAAATGTCAGCACCGCCTACCGCAGGGCCACCTGTTTCCTCCATCAACCAGAGTGGGTCTGATAACAACAGACTTCTGAGATGGGGTTTTGTTTGTTTTGTTTTCTAAATCAAGGTCTCATAAGCTCGGGTTGGCTCGGAATTCCTTATGTAGCTGAGGATGACCACGAACTCTTCCTCTTCCTGCCGTGTGTGTGTGTGTGTGTGTGTGTGTGTGTGTGTGTGTGTGTGAACACATGGAGGAGGAGAAGTCAGATCCCTCAGAGGTCACAGAACACAGGAGGCCTCGGGTGTGTGTGCTTTATAGCATAAATGCTGGGATCTGAGCTGGAATCTGGCACGGAGTGCCTTTATGTGCTGAGCCGTCCCGATGGCCCCATTGTTATTGGCATATATTAATATGTGTGACCGTGGGATTCATGACGGCATGTCCACACTGTACCTAATGTATTTCAGACATGTTTGCCTGGTTACCCTCTCTGTCCTCTTCCACTCCTACCCACACCTTCCACTTACATGACCTTTTGGGGTTATTCATGTGACTTGATGTAAATTTTTTAAAAATCTTTTTTTGTTGTTGTTTCCACAAAAGTTTTTGGGAAAATGCAAAACACAGTGATGAAAAAAATTTTTTAATTTATTAAAAGAGGGGTTTAGCCAGGTGGTGGTGGTGCATGCCTTTAATCCCAGCACTCAGGAGGCAGAGGCAGGTGGATCTCTGTGAGTTCAAGGCCAGCCTGGTCTACAGAGGAAATTGCAGGACAGCCAGGTTTACACAGAGAAACCCTGTCTTGAAATAATAGTAATAACAACAACAACAACAATAAATAAAGATTGTTTTAAGAGTTGGCTCAGTGGTTAAGAGCACTGGCTGCTCTTCCAGAGGACCAGAGATCAATCGCAGCACCCACGTGGCAGCTCACAACCATCTGTAACTCCAACTCCAGGGGACCTGATGCCCCTTCTCACCTCCACAGGCACCAGACCTGCACATGGCACACAGACATATATGCAGGCAAAAGTCATTGCATAAAATAAATAAACCTAAATAAATAAATAAAACCTAAATAAACAAAAATGTGAACATTTTTAAAAAAAAAAAAAAAACAGAAAGCAAGCATCCACAGCCCACCCAGGAGGAAGCTGTGAACTTGGGTGGGAAAGCATGGCTGTCTCCTACCCTCTGGCGGCAGATGAGGCCCCTCCTTCTACTAGGAACATGGTGGACTACCATGATGCCAGCGGCACAGAGAAAAGGAAGCCCGGACCTTTTCACAATCCATCTTGGCCTCCACTGTCTCTTATCCCGTGTCTGCTAGAACCCAAACGCTCCGCGGCAGCCTAGCTCAGCCCAGGCCTCTCCTCGTGACTTTCCTGCCCTCTGACCCTAGTCCAGCCACACCAACTCCTCCTTGTCACTCACCCCGGAAAGGAACCTCCAGGCCTTTGCCATTCCTGCTGGACCACCCCGGACCACCCCTTCCACTTCTTCCAGTCTCCATCAACCGCTCTTCCACAGAGCGGCCACTCACCTGCTCCCTATCTCCCTTCTGCTGTCCCCACATTCATTACAACACCACATTCTTTTCTGTCCTGCCAGAATCGCTCACTTCCCGTCTGTCTCTCCAGCTAAGATGGATGCACAAGACTGTCCACTTTATCCTCACCCAGAAAGGCACCTGCACATGGGGAGCTCTTCCCGCTCTCTGCTGAATGAAGGAGTGAGAGAAGGAGAGAGATTCTAGTGTGTGGCAAGCGGGATCTGGACGGGGCACAGCCAGTAGGAGGCCCCATCTGCACACAGTCCAGAGAGGCCGCACCGCTCTCTTTAACCACCCGGGGGCGTGCTCCTCCAGTGTGAAATGGCGAAGTTAGACTAAGCTAAGATGCTGGAGGAGGCCCTGGATAGCACAGTTCATACTTCAATTGCTTTCCTCGAACCAGCAGGGAAGGCTAGCATACCCCACTGAATCTGAGAAGGGAAG